TCTGTCCAACTCTAAAGCCCCATATTCTGGATGCTCGATTTTTTTTAGAAGCCAATTCCATAAATTTGCTCATAAATCTGAGTGATTTTCTAGGTGTTCATGAAATCACAGAATACAAGAACACTAAAAGCCTTGCTTTCTCTGGACACATAATCATCCCTATCTCAGTGCAAACTGGGAAATATCCCCAATACTTTGTCTCCTCATCCACCCCCACCCATCCAATTCAAATTCATAATACCAGGACTGAAGAAATGCATCAGTATTCTTTTTTTTTTTTTCATTTTTTTAAGTTTTGTTTTATTTACTTTGGAGAGAGAGAGAGAGAGAGAGAGAGAGAGAGAGAGAATCCCAAGCAGACTCCGCACTGACCATGCAGAGGTCAGTGGGGGGCTCGAATTAATGAACTGTGAGATCATGATTGGAGTTGAAATCAAGAGTTGGATGCTTAACCAACGAGCCACCCAGGCGCCCCTGTACCCTTACTTGTATTATTAAAGATAGAGGGGCTGTCATTTACTGCTGTTGGCAATGCATACGGTAAACCTCTCCGGAGGGCACTTGTCAATACGTATGAAATGCCTAAAGAGGAACGTAAGCCTGCATAGGCACTTCTAGGAATTTATTCTTTTTTTTTTTTTTAATTTTTTTAAATGTTTTTATTTATTTCTAGGAGAGAGAGAGAGACAGCGTGAGCAGGGGAGGGTCAAAGAGAGAGGGAGTCACAGACTGAAACAGGCTCCAGGCTCTGAGCTGGCAGTCAGCACAGAGCCCGACGCGGGGCTGGAACACACGAACCACGAGATCATGACCTAAGCGAAAGTCGGACGCTTAACCGACTAAGCCACCCAGGCACCCCGGAATTTATTCTTTTTTAAAAATTTTTTAAATATTTTATTTATTTCTGAGAGAAACGGGGGGGGGGGGCAGCGTGAGCAGGGGAGGGTCAGAGACAGTGGGAGACACAGAATCTGAAGCAGGCTCCAGGCTCCGAGCCAGCTGTCAGCACAGAGCCCGACATGGGGCTCGAACCCACGAACTGTGAGATCATGACCTGAGCCAAAGACGGACACCCAACTGACTGAGCCACCTAGGCGCCCCTAGGAATTTAAGTAAATTAGAGGGGATAGATTTGCATAAAGCTCTGTCAATAAACATGTCTACTGCAATTTTATAATAGAGGGAAAATAAAGGTAATGATTTAATTGTCAAATAGTAATCTTGGTAAATAAATTACTGTAGTTCCTTATACTGCAATTCTATAGATACAGCCACTGAAAATTCTGTAGAGGAAAAATGACATAGGAAAATGTTCTCAATAAATTAACTGAAAAAGAGTCACAAAATATTATCTCCATTAAAGTTTAAACGCTGTGTGTAGATATACATCAGAATGCTAAGTGTTTAATTTAGAAAATGGAATTGTAGGTGGTTTTTATTTTATTCGTTTTTCCTATGTTCTTCAGTTTTCTCCAATAATCACATTTCTTTCATAATTCTAAAGCCATTGGTGAAGAAATAGGAAAAAAAAGAAAAAGTGTATCCTGGTACAGCTTCCCCTGCTAAAAGTGAGTTTTCCCCTGCCTCAGGGTTCCAGCAAAATCAAACCTTCTAGTCTTTTGTGCGACACATACAAAGTAACTTCTAAAAATTGTATTAAAGTATAACATATATACAAAAGTGTACATACTGCGGCCCATTAAACTTTCACAAAAGCATTACAACCAGCGTCATAACCAGAGCGCGGCCAGCACCCCCAAGAAGCCTGTATTGTGTTCTCTTCCAAACCCTAGCACCCTGCAAGGGGAAGCACCATCTCCACCTCTACCACCATAGCTTAGTTTTGCCTGGTTTTAAACTTTATAGAAGTGAAATGATAAAGTGTGTACTCTTTAGTTTCTGGCTTCTTTCACTCAGTATTAGCTTTGTGAGATTCTAACTAGTTAAGTTGCAGAATGTAATCGTAATTTATGTTGTGTGAATTCACCACAATTTATTTATCGCATCTAACTATTTTTTTAAGTTTATTTATTTTGAGAGAGAGAGACAGAGAGAGACAGAGAGAGAGAATCCCAAGTAGGCTCTGAGCTGTCAGTGCAGAGCTCAACATGAGGCTCAATCTCATGAACCATGAGATGATGACATGACTGAAATCAAGAGTCAGGCACCCCTACCCATCCAACTCTTGATGAGCATTTGGGTAATACTCAATTTGGGGCTGTTATGAATAAAGCTATTACAGCCTCTTAGTGAATATACGTAAACACTTGTCACAGGTAAACCTAAGATGGAAGTTGCTGATTGACAGCTCATTTTTAGAATTCTTCTGAACCAGGATGATTTTGTCCTGATTAACATTGCCGTCAGCACATGGCGTAACGTGCACGGTTTATGACGTACGCATGTGCCCTTGCTAATGTGTTCATTTTAATCTTCTGTAGGTTTGGCACATGTCCTGCAAGATGGCAACTTTTGGGTTTCTGCTCAGTATGGGGGAAGCAATGTAGTCCTCAAATGTTATTAACAAGTTATTCTAAGCAAGAACTAGTGACTGCAGCTGCCTTCCTCAATTTAAATCAGGTGTTTTATCTTCAAATTTTCCCATCGTTTTACAACTTGTTCTTGTGAAACGCTAGTCTCTTCTCTGGTCAGAAAACACAACAGGTGACTCCCCAGAGCACCCACACCTGCCCCACTCCCAAGGGGACAGACACCCAGGTCGAAAACCATAGCTGCAGCAAAATTGTGCTCCCACCAAGGATATTCTGAGGATGGGAGCCCATTTAGGAGCAGAGCAAACTGACTTTCTTAGTGTCCCAATTTGCACACATTCAACAGGTTTTTAGTAAGTGTACTGAGGGGTGCCTGGGTGGCTCAGTCAGTTGGGTGTCCAACTTGGGATCTCAGGTCATGATCTCGAGGTTCATAAGTTTGAGCCCCACATCGGACTCCGCTGTCAACTCAGACCCTGCTTCAGATCCTCTCCCCCTCTTTCTACCCTCCCCCGCTCACACTCGCTCTCAAAAAATAACCTAAAAAAAAAAAGAGCACTGAAACCATAAACACAAATGTTTCCCAAAACATCGACTTTTCTATTTTTTTTAAAAATTTTTTATGCTTTATTTATTTCTGAGAGAGAGAGCAGAGGAGGGTGAGAGAGAGAGGGAGACACAGAATCTGAAACAGGCTCCAGGCCCTGAGCTGTCAGCACAGAGCCTGATGCGGGGTTCAAACCCACAAACCATAAGATCATGACCTGAGCTGAAGTCGGCTGCTCAACCGACTGAGCCACCCAGGCGCCACATCACTGACTTTTCTAAAGGTAAGGACACGGTCATCCCCATCTCTGGAACCCCATACCTAGTGCAGTGCTTATAACTGATAGAGGCCCCAAAAATATTAAAAATGAATAATCTCTTTGAAATGGATGGAATCTACCCCACTAGATGACTACCCCAAAGTAGAGTCAGTCACACAGTAACAAAATCTTTCTCCTGGGAAATGAAATAACAACTTAGATGTCCATCACTGCGGCTAACCAACCCCCGTGTTATGGAATGTTCTACAGCAGTAAACAGTGAGGCGGAATCTTTACACGCTCATCCAGCAAATGCTCCCTGATTTCTCATTACTCACAAAAAAGGGGGGGGGCAAGTTGCAAACAAACTTCATAGTATAACATTTCATCATTTAGAAAGAAAGCAAAAGCTACATGTTTCAAGACAAATGCATGTAAATGCACAGGAAAAGGCCTGGAAGGTTCCACACCACACTGATAACAGCAAACAGCTCGAGAGTGTGATTGAGCATAGTCTCAAAGGGATTTATTTCTCATTTCTACAAAGGTTCCCATACTTCGACTGAACAGTCCACAAAGGGAAGAAAAATAGGCCTCTTCCTGGTACTGTCAGTAGATGTGCTTATCTTTACTCTGCCTCCCTAAGCATCACGAAAAATGGAGGGAAAGGAACAGGTAAGAGCTCCTTAAACAAGCCCTGGCCGTTACAGCTTCAAGGAAGCCTTCTGCGAAGGGAGACTTGGGGAAAGGGAGGAAACAGGAGACCGATTTTCCACATTTAAGAGAAGTGCGCTCATGTCAATAAAACGGGGGTGGGGGTAGGTTGGAAAAAAAAACAAAGAAAAGTGCCCTCTCCGAGGGCTGTGCACACTTCCATCGGGCTACGAAGTACAGAGGAGGGAGGAGCGCCAAACCTGCCCGAGATTCTTTAATTCTGACAGAAGGAGGAAAAAAAAAGATCTACAAGATCTAAAGGAACAGAAACACGAGGCGATGCATTTATGCTCAGTTGATCACAGCCTCACAGATAAAAGTGGCTTTTGTGTGCAGCACTTTGCATTTTGGAATAGTCTGTCTCAAAAAAATGGGTCTTAGAGTAAGGGCTCCAGGCCAATTTCTGTTATCTCTGTCCCACCAGCGAACATCTTTCTTGGTGTCTTTAGCGCCATAGGTGAGACGAGGGTGAGGGTGGACTAAGCCAGAAGCGCAGCCATCCTGACTTCTATCCAAAACCTAAGGCAGTTCAATACCAACCAGCAAGCGAGCGCCTCTTCCGCGTGGCTGCGGAGGGGATGCCGGTCATTCCTACTCCTCGGCTGGGACTCCCCTGGTGACAGGAGTCAGGGGACCGAGTGCGGGACTGTCCGTGTGCCCACCTGCACCGGGCACGAGTCACTCCCGACCCTGGCAGTCCGGCATCCAGCGCCGAGGCCGGAAAGGACCCCGAGCGCACCGGGGAGGGCGCCGGGCCCCATGACGTGGTCCAATCCCGAGCCGGCGTCGACGGTTTCCCGCCCCCGCCCCCTCCCAACTGGCGGACTGGCCCCTCCGCGGCCTCTGGGGCAGAAGCCGGCGACGGAGAAGGGGGCGGGCCTAGGACGTGGCCCAATGGGAGCGCGCGCCGCGGCGACGGGGGCGGGGCCGGGCGCGCGGCGCAGGGCCGGGTGGCCGAAGCTCCAATGAGCGCGCGCCGCGTCCAGGGCCGGCTGGTGCGCGAGACGCCGCGGAGAGATTGGTGGCTAATGTAACAGTTTGCAAACCGAGGGGAGTTGTGAAGGGCGCGGGCTTGGGGGCGTGCTGCCGGCCTCGTGGGTACGTCCGCCGCCGCGTTTGTCCCAGAGCTGAGGCCGCAGGAGCGCAGGTAAGCGGTAACGGGAATGGGAATGGCGATGGGAGCCGGCCACCCCTCCTAGGAGAGGCAACGTGCTAGCTCCGGGGGCGGGTCGGTAGCGGGAGCGAGGGCCGCACGGACGCCGGTGCGCTTGGCCCCGCAGCTCGGTCCTGGGGCGCCCGCACGCTTTAGGGGAGGGCCGGGCCTCGTTTCCGGGGGTGGAGCCGCCGTCTTCGCCAGGTGAGGCTTAGGTGAACTCGGGGGACTCGGTACTTGTCAGACAAGGAATCTTACCGTTCCAGGCACGGCGTCTGTGTAGGCAGCGGGGCCGGGGGTTGGGATGGAGAACGGGCGGCGGGCGGGACAACCCGAAAGGATACCGAGGAGGAGACAGGCCCTTCTAACATCCCAGCCTCCTCCAACGTCACCACCTCTCAGTTCCCGTTCAGGCCCGGCCTGGCTTTTCCCCTCAGCGGGGGAGCTCCAGGTGTAGGGAGGTAGTTGAGCTCTGGGCCGGGATCCCTGGCCGCACCCCAGGTGTCAGACAGTAGGGGCAGTGCCAGGGTGCGCCATTTACAGCCTATGCAGTGGACAGAAGGCTCTGGTCTCCTTTCTCCTGTCCCGGTATCTTTCCTGTTGAGGGATGTGGTGGATGGAGCCCAGGACCCTTTGTGTGATTAGAGTGCTGAGCCCTTATCAGGAGGAAGAGGAGGGGGATGTAGGCCCCTCTGCCCCCTGGTGACAGTGGGGTATGAATCTTAAAGCTTTTCTGTTCTGGGATGCATTTGTCTTCTTCACTCAGGGAATCCGGTTACAAGTGTTGTTTTTCTCCTCCCTCGGAGATACAATGGCAGCCACCGTCAGGAGGCAGAGGCCAAGGAGGCCAGCCCGTTGGGCCTTAATGACTGTGCTCTTGGCAGACCTGTTGGCACTGAGTGGTACGTACCCCAGCAACGGGCTCAAAAGAAGAATCGATGAATGATCCATGGTGGGAGGGGAGGCTTTTAGTTGGAAGTTGGACTCTTCTGAGCGGCTGAACCCAGGCTCTTATCTTTGCTAACTCCCCTTCTCTTTGGAGAGCAGAGTGCTTTGGTTAGAGGGGACTCAGGTGTGTGGGGGAACAGGGGCTAATTGACAAATCTATTTCCTTTTCAGACACATTAGCGGTGATGTCTGTGGACCTGGGCAGCGAGTCCATGAAGGTGGCCATTGTCAAACCTGGAGTGCCCATGGAAATTGTCTTGAACAAGTGAGGGCGGCCCCTGTGTCAGGGGTGGGGAAAGAGGGAGGAGGTCTTTGCTCCAAGCCAGCGCGTGTTCTTGCCAGGGCCCACGACAGGCTGGTGTCTGAGTGATCAGATTTGGGGTGTTGAGGCTCCTAAATCCACATCCTGCTATAGGCACTTGGGCCCTATGTCTCTCTCTTTTCTTTTTTTCCCAGGGAATCCCGGAGGAAAACCCCAGTGACTGTGACCCTGAAAGAAAATGAAAGATTTTTTGGAGACAGTGCAGCCAGCATGGTGAGCTAGCGGCCCACTCCCTTCCCGGAAGCAGTGGGCAGAAGAGAGATGTCAGACACCAGAGCCTGTTGTCTTACCAGCCTCTGATGTGGGAGGTGGGTGATGGGGGACTTGGGAATCTCACATTGTATTCCTTGTTTATCTGTTCCCAGGCCATCAAGAATCCAAAGGCGACACTGCGTTACTTCCAGCACCTCTTGGGGAAGCAGGAAGGAAACCCCCATGTGGCCCTTTACAGAGCCCGTTTTCCAGAGCATGAGCTAGGCTTCGACGCACAGAGGCAGACTGTGCACTTCCAGATCAGCCCGTGAGTGCTGTGGGGGCTCAGCGGGCCTGATGGGCTCCTCTGCCCGTGGCCGTCCTTGCCTCTAACCCTCCCCTTCCCCCAGGCAGCTACAGTTCTCACCCGAGGAGGTGCTCGGCATGGTTCTGAATTACTCCCGTTCCCTGGCTGAAGATTTTGCAGGTGAGTGGCTAAGGTGGGGCCAGTGGTGGCCAGGTTCCCTAGGGTCTCTGTGGGGACAGTTTGGCCTTCCAGGGAAGAGCCAGCCATATTTGAAGACGTCTTTGGCTGTCGCAACTGGGGAGCTGCTACTGACATCTTAACGAGTAGAAGCCAGGGATGCCGCCCGAGATCCTACAACGCTCGGGACAGCCCCACACAGCAGGGTTACTTGGCCCAGAAGGGCACCAGTAGCAAGACCAGGAAAGGGTCATGTGAGGTACGGAGCTGGTGGGAACCCTGGTCTGTTGTCCTCTGTAGAACAGCCCATCAAGGATGCAGTGATCACCGTGCCAGCCTTCTTCAATCAGGCCGAGCGCCGAGCTGTGCTGCAGGCGGCTCGCATGGCTGGCCTCAAAGTGCTGCAGCTCATCAACGACAACACCGCCACCGCCCTCAGCTACGGCGTCTTCCGCCGGAAAGATATCAACACCACCGCGCAGGTGAGCCGGGGAGGAACTTCTGAGCCAACTCGGAGGCTGGCTGGCTGGCTGGCTGTGACCATGGAGGCCACTTGACTCTGTTTTGCATCTTGTTTGCAAGGCTGGCCCTTGACAAAGTGCAGCACGAGGCCCCCTCTCGGCCAGCATTGGGGCTTTTTGACTTTCAGTGGAGAGTCGATACGGCACCTTGGAGTTAGAGAAGGCTCTTGTGACGGTCGGTCTCGGTGTCTCCACAGAACGTCATGTTCTACGACATGGGCTCTGGCAGCACCGTGTGCACCATCGTCACCTACCAGACGGTGAAGACGAAGGAGGCGGGGATGCAGCCACAGCTGCAGATCCGGGGCGTGGGGTGAGTGGGTACTTCCTGAGACACCCTCAGGTAGGGGGTTTCTTCTTGGAGGGGCCGCTGCCTCCTTTTCCTGCTCCCTACTCGAATGGTCTCCTGAGGCAGCGGTCACCATAGGGTACCTCTTGGTACCATCTTGGGGAAAGATGGAGAGAGGGGGACGGTTTGGGAAGGTTGAAAGGCAGGGAACTTCCCGAGAGCTGCTGCTTAGGAAATCCATGGGGCTCCCGACCATGTGCACGGTCGGATATGGTCATTTGCTTGTCCTTGTCACTTTCAGCAAACTTACTGATGACATGGTCTGATTTCCTGAGCTGTTCTTTTCTCTGCGGCTCCACCGTCACCACTGTAGTCCTGGCTTCCATCGGCTCTGACCTGCAGGGTTACGAAAGGGTCTCCCTGTCTTCAGTGTGGTCTCCCTCTAGTTCTTTCTCCACATTTGTAGCCAGAAGGTTCCTTTCATACCAACGTGATTGTAATCTATTTCTTTAAAAATCTTAGGTGGCAGGGTGCCTGGATGGCTTAGTCGGTTGAGTGTCTGACTCTTGATTTCGGCTTTGGAGCCGTTTAAGATTCTCTGCCCCTCTCCCCTGCTGTTGCACGTGCCCATGTGTGTTTTCTCGTTCTCTGTCTCTGTCTCTCAAAAAAAAAAAAAAACCTCAGTGGCTCCGAACCTTTCCCATGACCTGGGAGGGCTCCGACTCCCCCCTTTTGTCTCTACCCAGAGACCTGTGCTCTTTGAGCACCATCCACCATGCCTGTCCTCGTTTGGAACTTACTGGGCTGTTTCCCACCTCGGGGTCTTGATGCATGCCGTCTCCTCCACGCAGAGTTGTGTTCCCTCCTCTTCAACCCGTTAACTCTACTCATCCTGCACGTTTCAACTCAGGCATCATGTCTCCAAAGAACTTTCTGTGGTGTCTGTAAACAGGCAACCCTTTCCTTTTATGTCTTCTAATGCTATTGTCCGTCCGTCCCGTATAACTGAGGAGGTGGTTGACATTTCACGTTCTCGTGATTGTTCGATGCTAGACTGTAAAGTTCTTGGTGGCAGTTTCCCTGTCTTCTCTTAATTGCATCCCCGGAGACAGATAGTCAATGCCCAGTGAGTACGGTGGAGTGGAGGCGCACGTGAACTGCCACGGAGGTGTCAGCCACGTGGCAGGAGAGCGAGGTTCTGAGGTCGACCAAGGGACGCCGAGTGTTCCTCAAGCGTTTCTCTGTTGCTTTCCCCTGCATAGATTTGACCGCACCCTGGGGGGCCTGGAGATGGAGCTCCGGCTGCGTGAGCACCTGGCAAGGCTTTTCAACGAGCAGCGCAAGGGCCAGAGAGCAAAGGATGTGCGGGAGAACCCCCGTGCCATGGCCAAGCTGCTGCGGGAGGCGAATCGACTCAAAACCGTGCTGAGCGCCAACGCGGACCACATGGCCCAGGTGCCTCCTCGTGGCTGGTCGAGGGCAGATATTCTCCACCCAGGGACGGTGGACGACCCCACGACCCTGAGCTAGGCCCTTGTGTGCCGTGTGGCCCATCCCTTCTCCCCAGGCCTCCTGCCATCTCCCTCAAGTCCAGTTCCCTCGGTTTCTGACCTGCCCACCCGAAGAGGAAGACCGGGGTGGGCACTCTGACCTGCTCATCCCCGTCTCCCCCAGATCGAGGGCCTGATGGATGATGTGGACTTCAAGGCAAAAGTGACCCGCGCGGAGTTTGAAGAGTTGTGTGCAGATTTATTTGAGCGGGTGCCCGGGCCTGTCCGGCAGGCCCTGCAGAGTGCCGAGATGAATTTGGTGAGGGGGCAGTGAGATGGGAGCGGAGGCCCAGTGGGATAGAAAGTGGTCAGGCGGTGGGGAGGAGGGGGCAGGAATGTCACGAAGTGAGTCGGTGCCGAGCAGGAGGGCTAACGATGATCGTGCCGTTCCACCTCACGTTCTTTCTCTATAGGACGAAATTGAGCAAGTGATCCTGGTTGGTGGGGCCACTCGGGTCCCCAAAGTTCAGGAGGTGCTGTTGAAGGCTGTGGGCAAGTGAGTGCGGGTGCTGAGGCGCCGGGGCCAGGGCTGCGGAGAGGGAGGCCAGGCCGGGGGCTCCAGAGTAGCCGTGCTGAGGCGCAGGACTTTCACAGGGAGGAACTAGGGAAGAACATCAACGCGGACGAGGCCGCCGCCATGGGGGCCGTGTACCAGGCAGCCGCGCTCAGCAAAGCCTTCAAGGTGAAGCCGTTTGTCGTGCGAGACGCCGTGATCTACCCCATCCTGGTGAGTAGGCCTGTCTGATCACCTCACCGAGGGCGGTGTCTCTGTCTGCCGTAGCCCGTATCCTTGTTTTTCTGCCAGTTGATGTTCTCCACGTGCCTTACCCCAGAAGCCACCCTGGCTCTCTAGCCTGCCTTTTCTCTGCCTGCTGTGTAGGTGGAGTTCACGAGGGAGGTGGAGGAGGAGCCTGGGGTTCACAGCCTGAAGCACAATAAGCGTGTTCTCTTCTCCCGAATGGGGCCCTACCCTCAACGCAAAGTCATCACCTTTAACCGCTACAACCACGACTTCAACTTCCACATCAACTATGGTGACCTGGGCTTCCTGGGGCCTGAGGATCTTCGGTGAGAGGGCAGGGCAGGGCAGGGAGCCCTGGGAGGGAGGATCTGGGGCCCCGGGACTGGCGGGGGAAGCAGGCTGTGCAGTTGGGGATTGGGGCGAGCATCTTCTGTAGACTAGGGCCCCACAGTTGGTGCTGGGAGGCTGTGTGGTCTAAAACTGGAGGCAGGCTGGCTGGGCTCCCTGGAATTGCTCTCTCCTCCCCAACCAGGGTGTTTGGCTCCCAGAATCTGACCACAGTGAAGCTAAAAGGTGTGGGTGAGAGCTTCAAGAAGTATCCCGATTACGAGTCCAAGGGCATCAAGGCCCACTTCAACCTGGATGAGAGTGGCGTGCTCAGCCTCATCAGGGTGAGAGCAGAATGAGACCATGGGTACAGGGCGAGGGTCCGGGCCCCACCAGCCTTTCCAGAGCAGTTCCACGTGGTATTAGAACATGATAAATGAGAAGGGCATTGAGGTGGATAAGTCTTGGCTCTAAACACAGCTAACTAGGGATCTGGTGTGTCAGGGCCTATTAGAACTTACAGGTATTATAAAACTCAGAATCTATAGAATGGCCAAGGAATCCATTCTTTTTTTTTTTTTTTTTTTTTTTTTCTAGGAGAGAGAGAGAGAGAGAGAGACAGCGTGAGAGAGAGAGAGAGAGAGAGAGACAGCGTGAGCAGGGGAGGGTCAGAGAGAGAGGGAGATACAGACTCTGAAACAGGCTCCAGGCTCTGAGCTAGCAGTCAGCAAAGAGCCCGACGCCGGGCTCGAACCCACGAACCGCAAGATCATGACCTAAGCGAAAGTCAGACGCTTAGCCGACTAAGCCACCCAGGCGCCCCCAAAGAATCCATTCTTGAAGAATAGTTCGCGACAGGGGGATGGGAGCACCTGGATCGCTCAGGCGTCCAACTTTTGTTTTCGGCTCATGTCTTGATCTCGTGGTTGTGGGTTTAGGCCCCCCACTGGTCTCCATGCAGAAAATGAAGCCTACTTTAAAAATTTGTTTCGGGGCGCCTGGGTGGCTTAGTCGGTTGAGCGTCCGACTTTTGCTTAGGTCATGATCTTGTGGTTCATGGGTTCGAGCCCCGCGTCGGGCTCTGTGCTGACTGCCAGCTCAGAGCCTGGAGCCTGTTTCAGTCTGTGACTCCCTCTCTCTCTGACCCTCCCCTGCTCATGCTGTCTCTCTCTCCTAGAAATAAATAAAAATATAAAAAAATAAATAAAAATAAAGACTTGTTTCGATGTTTTTGAGACAGTGAGTGTAAGTGGGTGATGGACAGAGAAGGGGGAGACACAAAATCCAAAGGAGGCTCCAGGCTCTGAGCTGTCAGCACAGAGCCCGATGTGGGGCTTGAACTCCTGAACCGTGAGATCATGACCTGAGCCAAAGTGGGACACTTAACTGACTGAGCTACCCAAGTGCTTCTCAAGAAGCCTACGTTAAAAAAAAAAAAGTAGTTCTGGGGATTGACACCTTTTAGAAGATACTGTGGGAAATCCTGGCCCATTTCATAGTCAAGTGGAGAAGTGCAAGGGTCTGAGGGCGAGAAGGAGCTGTGACCCTGTCTTCAGGAGGGCTCATAATCAAGGGGCAAGGGAAGGAACAGACCGGCACTGCTGTAGGTCACACGGATGTGTGTGAGGAGACACCCACTGCGGCGGGACGTTCGTGGCAACGAGGTAGGTTAGCACGTGTGTCTCTTTACCGTGAACCCGTTTCCAGGTGGAGTCTGTGTTTGAGACATTGGTGGAGGACAGCCCAGAGGAGGAATCTACTCTGACCAGTAAGATGAGTGTGTGCGCCTGCGTGAATGTGTGTCCAAGGGAAGATACACCTGTATGCATTTTGGGGAGGCAGGCAGGCCCTGCCCTTGGGCGAGGAGGTGGTGTGGCTGCTGTGGCCCCTTTGAGTCTGTGAGCTTTCTTCCTCCTAGAACTTGGCAACACCATCTCCAGCCTGTTTGGAGGCGGTAGCACACCAGACGCCAAAGAGAACGGTACCGACACTGTCCAGGTAAGGCCAGCATGGAGCCAGGGCAGCTCGGAGGATGGTGTGTGGGGCCAGGTAGTGGCAGCAGAGGCAGGGATCAGGGCGGGCATTCCAGCTGCCCAGGATTGACTAGGCCCCCTCCCCACTTCCCCCGAGCCCTTGCCATGGGAACCATGTCCTCCTCGGGGCCCTGAGCCATTCCCTTCCTGTCCGAGCAGACTGCCTGTTCCCTTACAGTCCTCTGTCTGCCCCCAGGCTGTGCTGGGAGCAGCAGGCCCCTTCACAGCAGAGCCCGGGGACTTGGCCTTGCTCGCTGAGCCGGATTGTTGGCTTGTCCATAGGTTCTGCTGGTGACTGTCACTTGGTGGGGGGGGTGCGGGTGCTTGTCTCCCAGGAGGAAGAGGAGAGCCCTGCTGAGGGGAGCAAGGATGAGCCTGGGGAGCAAGCGGAGCTCAAGGAGGAGGCGGAGGCCCCGATGGAGGATACCTCTCAGCCCCCGCCCGCTGAGCCGAAAGAGGGTGCAGCTCCTGAGGAAGAAAAGGCCACAGAAAAAGAAAACGAGGGAAAGCCCGAGGCCCAGGCAAGCCCGAGGCTATGGGAATAGATGCCTGCCTGTGGGGAGTCAAAGGACCTGAGCTTTTCCTGACACTCTCGTCTCTTTCCCCACCAGAAGCCAAGTGAGAAAAAGGAGGCAGGGTCTGAGGCTGTTCCTCCGGCCCCAGAGGAAGAAAAGAAGCAGAAGCCTGCCCGGAAACAGAGAGTGGTAGAGGAGATTGGGGTGGAGCTGGTGGTTCTGGACCTGCCTGACTTGCCCGAGGATGAGCTGGCCCGCTCAGTGCAAAAGTGAGTAGAGCTCGTGCGTGCCCGTGTGCGTGTGTGCGCGTGGCGGGGGGCAGAGCAGTGGCATTCCTGGGAGGGAGAGCTGTCTGCCCCAGGGTCTGAGTTCAGCGTGCTCGCTCCCTCGTGCTTGCTTCCCACAGACTTGCAGACTTGACATCCCGAGACCTGGAGAAGCAGGAACGGGAGAAGGCTGCCAACAGCTTGGAAGCTTTTATCTTCGAGACGCAGGTGGGTGGGCTGGGAGACCCACCTGCCCCAGGACATGTGTCCCAGGAGGGTCTGGCTCTGTGAGCCCTGCCCTTGGGGTTCGGTGCATGCTTGGGCCTGTGTGCACTTCCCTAGGACAAGCTGTACCAGCCCGAGTACCAGGAAGTGTCCACGGAGGAGCAGCGTGAGGAGATCTCCGGGAAACTCGGCGCCGCCTCCGCCTGGCTGGAAGACGAGGGCTTTGGAGCCACCACGGGGGTACGGGGCCTCCTGGGACATGGTGGGTGGGATGGGAGCCCCGGCTTTGCTCTCCCACTCAGAGAGGGTGAGGGAGCTGGGGTGAGGAGAAGGACGCGGGGCTGGCTCCAGGGCCGGCCGCCATCCCTTCACCCCCACTCTGCACGCCCCCACCCTGCGTCCGTCAGATGCTGAAGGAGAAGCTGACGGAGCTGCGGAAGCTGTGCCACGGGTTGTTTTTTCGGGTGGAAGAGCGCAAGAAGTGGCCCGAACGGCTGTCTGCCCTCGACAGTCTCCTCAATCATTCCAGCATGTTCCTCAAGTGAGCAGCCCCTTCGATTTTCTTCCTTGTTTGGTCCTGCCAAGCCTAGAGGTCCCCATCAGCTTCCGGTGCCCCTGCCCACACCCCAGATGCGTCTCTCCTCTGGGCTCACCGTCTCCTTCCTGGCTTCCAGGGGCGCCCGGCTCATCCCAGAGATGGAGCAGATCTTCACTGAGGTGGAGATGACCACATTAGAGAAAGTCATCAACGAGACCTGGGTAATCCCTGTGTGGACACTTACCGGGATACTCGCCTGGCAAGGTGTTCCGTGCTGGGCAGCGAGGGGATGCCGAGAAACAGGGGCTCTGCAGCTGCTGCCTCCTGGCCTGGCAGCTAATTGGCAAGGCAGAAGGCATTCATACTTGAGGCCATGTCTGATTAGCCCCAAGCGAGGGTGGTGACTGTGAGTTTTGTCAGATGCAGGAGCAGCAGAACCCATCCCCGTGAGGTTAGAGCAGCTGCTCCGAGTTGCTGGGGCTTGAGCTGCACCCAAAAGGTGGGCCAGCGTGCGTTCGGGTAGGGGAGGATGACCCATCTCTGGAGGCTGAAACTTCCTTTTTGGATGGGGAGGGATTTGGAGCCAGAGCTCCCCAGCGGAGAGACCCGGAAATGATGAGAGCTTCAGCTGTAGATGATCCCTAGTAACATAAGCCACAGGCATGGCTGTGAGTTTGGGACTCCTTTGGGGGGAGCCTCAATGCCATTCTGAGGAGTCCGCTTACCATTGGGCTGACAGCCAGCGGTACCGGAGGGGTTCGCCATCTGAGGGAAGAGCCTGGGGCTGGTTCGGGGTTTATTTCACCCAGGCCTGAGAGGCCTGCGCTCTCCAGGGCCAGCTCCGAGCCTGTCCTGGCCTCGCCCACAGGCCTGGAAGAACGCGACCATGGCCGAGCAGGCCAAGCTCCCTGCCACAGAGAAGCCAGTGTTACTCTCGAAAGACATTGAGGCCAAGATGATGGCCCTGGACCGTGAGGTGCAGTACCTGCTCAACAAGGCCAAGTTTACCAAGCCCCGGCCCCGGCCCAAGGACAAGAATGCAACCCGAGCAGAGCCTCCTCTCAATGCCAGTGACCAAGCGGAGAAGGTCATCCCTCCACCAGGTGAGGGCAGGGTGCCTGGTTCCGGGCAGGAAGAAGGCCTCCTTTCCCTCCTGGGACTACCTTTGACCCCTGGTTTCCCTCCAGGCCAGACTGAAGATGCAAAGCCCATTTCAGAACCTGAGAAAGAGACTGGTGAGTTGAGGAAGGTGATTGGGAATATGGAGTTTGCTAGGCCTAGGGGTTGGCAGACCTGCGGGCACAGCCTGTTTGTAGAAGGTCCACAAGCTGTGAGTGGCCCTTCCATTTTGTGGTTATTACATACCCACACAAACAAGTCTGTGCAAAGAAGCCAGCTGTAGTCCACAACTCCCAAAACATTTTTTTTTAATGTTTTATTTATTTCTGAGAGAGAGGGAGACAGAATCTGAAACAGGCTCCAGGCTCTGAGCTGTCAGCACAGAGCCTGACACGGGGTTCGAACTCACAAACTGTGAGATCATGACCTGAGCCGAAGTCGGACGCTCAACTGACTGAGCCACCCAGGTGCCCCCACAACCCCCAAAACATTTACCATCCGGCTTTTACAGAAAAAGTCTGCCAGCCCCTTCGTTAGCCCATTCCTCTCTTCTGTGGAGGCTAACAACTTCTTCCCAAAAGCAGGATCTGAACCAGTAGACACCGAACCTTTAGAGCTAGAAGGTCCTGGAGGAGGTGAGCACAGGGCTGGGGGTACCCGGGAAGCCTGGTGGGGTCCAACGGGGAGGCTCTGCCCAGAATAGGGCCGGTCCCCACCGTCTCACCTGCTGGTGTTCCTTCGCTCTTCCCCGCTCCCGGCAGAACCGGAACAGAAGGAGCAGCCAACCGGACAGAAGCAGACTTTGAAGAATGATGAATTATAACCACCCCCACCCCCATCCCGTTCCCCATCACCCCTCCCCCTTTTCCTACCTCCTCTATTTATTAAACACCGAGGGTCAGGGGAAGGGTTGCTCCTGCCCTCAGAGGTTTCGGTTCCTTTCCTCTCACCTCCATCGGAGGTGTGGGGAAGGGGGAGGAAGGGACAGCTCACCAGATCCTTCGGCAGTGGTTCTGTGGTAAAACCTGAAATTGTTCTCTTTTCCAGTCCCACCCTGGCTCCCTACCCATCCAGGCCCTCGTTTGGGAAAAATCACTATTATGTCTTAATTCTTTGCCTGTGGGTAGGTGAGAGATTGGCCGTGGGGGGTCAATGGGCCTGGCAGGCAGGGGAGGGATGCCCTGGGCTATTAGAGAGTCTCCAGTCTTCTCTGTCCTCCCCGCTGCGTCTCCTCCACCGCCAAGTTCGCCCCACAAGGGCCAGTGTCTGCAGAGCCTTGGATACCAGGTCTGGTTTCTGAGTGCCTATCTATGCTCTTTGCTCCTCCAAGGTCTTGTCTTTCCCTAGAAGGCTCTTCCCCTGGTTTCCTTGGCTTCCGGTTGCAAGTAAGGGTAGCTGTCCGCCTCTTGCCCGAGCCTTTCCACCTGGACTGGCTGCAGTATAGCCGGATCCGTGCCCGCCCGCTGGCACAGCCCGCCGTGGCCAGGGTGGGTAGGGAGAGCGTGAAGAAGGGAACCCAGCCACCTCTGTGGGAGAGACGACTGAAAACCCCAGAGCTCCCACCTGCGGGCTTCCGGATGCGGGAAAACGCGTGGCGTGGCCAGTGCAGGATGCCGGCATCCCACCGGGGCTGCCCGAGTCCGCCGCCTCCCTGTTCCTAGCCCTCCGCGGCCCTGTGACTCGGGCCCTCTCTGCTCTCCTGTCTTCTGCCCTCCCAGACATGGCCTTTCCCACGTCCCCTGGCTCCCCTGGCCCCCCTGGGCTGACCAAAATGTGCTTTCTACTGTGAGCCCCTATCCCGAGACCCTGGGAGGAGAGACCGTGGCGTGAATGTACAACTTGCCCTCTTCGAGGCGGGCCGTGTGGGCAAAGGAAGAGGGTGTGGGCAGGCCTGCCTTTCTCACATTGCTCTGCTGAGGTGGGGGCTCTACCCATCGTGCCGATGTTGGGGAGCCTGCCCTCCACGCTTCGTCTGGAGTGGGAGCCACAGCTCCCACCCGGCTCCCAGGGCAAGGGGGAACCTGGTTGTGTCTGTCTTTTGTTTTCCTTTTTTTTTTTTTTTTTTTTTTTTTGCCACATTGGCAGATAAGAGACTGAAGGGTCCCACCCCGCCCTGTTTGAGTTCTTTCACTAGCAGTTGAGGCTGGTTGGACAGGTTTGAGTCAAGTTGTACTTTGGTCCATTGTTAATTGAGAAACTGTTTCAATAAAATATTCTTTTCTACAGTTTTTGTGCTGTTTTTAAAATGTTTGTTCCCTGGGGCAGGCTCCGTCGGTTAAGCATCCAACTCTTGGGGCGCCTGGGTGGCTTAGTCGGTTAAGTGTCTGACTTTAGCTTAGGTCATAATCTCGCGGTTCGTGGGTTCGAGCCCCGCGTCGGGCTCTGTGCTGACTGCCAGCTCAGAGCCTGGAGCCTGTTTCAGAGTCTGTGACTCCCTCTCTCTCTGACCCTCCCCTGCTCACGCTGTCTCTCTCTCTCTCTCCTAGAAATAAAAAATAAAAAAACAAAAACATCCAACTCTTGGTTTTGGCTCAGGTCATGATCCCAGGGTCAGGAGATCTAGCCCCAGGTCGGGCTGCTGGCTGAGCACAGAACCTGCTTAAGATTCTCTCGCTCCCCACCCCCCCGGCCCTCCTCTGCTTGCACGCAGATGTGCACTCGCTCGCTCTCTCTAAAAAAACCATGTCTTCTGTGTATAAACAATACATGTTTATTACAGAAAACTTGGACGATAGAAGTTTGAATCTTAAAATGATGTATACTAACACCACCAAAATACTAACATTTTGGATTTAGCTGCGATTCATATACATAAATTGTTTTTTCATGGGAACAAAATTGTGGTTTTATTTTTCCGTTGACATTATTTGGACTCAGACATTTTTAGGTGACCACTTTTTCAAATAAGCCCATTTTGCAAATAAGAAATGGATGGTTCATGGGAGATGTCCGGCTGGCTCAGCGTGTGCGACTCTTGATCTCAGGGTTGTGAGTTCAAGCCCCACATCGGGTGTGGAACGTACTTAAAAAAGAAAATGACAGTTTACACAGGTCTCAGTAATGGATCCAAGGAATCAGAGGTGTTAAGTGCCTCAGCTAGGTTTGAACTTAAGTCTGACCCGTTAGCCCTCGCTGTTAACTGCTCCAATATGAGAATGTGTTACTAAAGTCACCACTGAGCACAGTTGACTTGGGTAGTTCATCAGCAGTGATGGAACCACATTTTACCAAAGGAAGATTGTTCCTAGTCCTTAATCACTTTCATGTTTAAGAAGCTGAATAAATAATGACTGGGAAGATTATGTTTTTCTCTAAAGGTCGAACAGGTCAGACGTCTTTTAAAGCCTGAAATGTTTTGTTTTTTAAAATAGACTTTCTTGGGGCGCCTGCCTGAGTGGCTCCGTTAAGCTCTGTATTCTGCTCTGTTAAGCATCCGACTTCAGCTCAGGTCATGATCTCACGGTTTGTGGGTTCAAGCCCTTCGTCTGGCTCTGTGCTGACAGCTAGCTCAGAGGCTGGAGCTTGCTTCGGATTCTGTATCTCCCTCCCTCTCTGACCCTCCCCTACTCACGCTGCCTCTCTCTCTCAGAAATAAAACATTAAAAAAATTTTTTTTAATAAAAAATAAAATAGACTTTCTTAGAGCAGTTTCAGGTTCACGGCAAAATTGAGCAGGAAGTACAGAGGCTTCCCATATACTCTTGGGCTCCGGGCATGCACAGCCTCCCCCACTATCAATATCCCCTGCCAAAGTAGTATAGTTGGCCCTATATTGATTATCGTCATCACCTGAAGTATAGTTTACATTAGGGTTCACTCTTGACATTGTACATTCTTTGTACTTGGACAAATGTATAATGACATGTGCCCGCCATTACATGTCATACAGAGTAGATTCATCATCCAAAATATCTTCTATGTGGTATTGATCCATCCCTCCTGCCACCTGTAACTCCTGGCAACCACAGATCTTTCTGCTGTCTCCATGTTTTTGCCTTTTCTAGAATGTCATGGATTTGGAGGCATACAGAATGTAGCCTTTCAGCCTGGCCACTTTTGCTTAGCAACATGCATTGGCATTTCCTCCATGTCTTCGTGGCTTGATAGCTCATTTCTTTTCTTTTTTTTTTTTAAGTTTGTTTATTTTGGAGACGGAGTGTGTGCAGGAGGGTCAGAGAGAGAGAGAGAGAGGGAGAGAGAGAAGCACAAGTAGGCTCCACACCATCAGTGCGTGGAGCCTGATATGGGGAGCAAACTCACGAAGCTGTGAGATCATGACCTGAGCCAGAATAAAGAGTCAGACGCTTAACCGCCTAAGCCACCCAGGCACCTCATAGCCATTATTTTTTTAAAAAAAATTTTTTTTACATTTATTTATTTTTGAGAGACAGAGAAACAGAGCACAAGTGGGGGAGGGGCAGAGAGAGAGAAGGAGACACAGAATCTGAAGCAGGCTCCAGGCTCTGAGCTGTCAGCACAGAGGCCGATGCGAGGCTCGAACTCACAAATCATGAAATCGTGACCTGAGCTGAAGTCAGATGCTTAACTGACTGAGCCACCCAGGTGCCTCTATAGCCATTATATTTAAAGGATCAATTTTTGAATTCTCTAGTTTCTATCATCAGCTGGGCATTATCAACACCTCTGTAATACACTGACTAGATATACCATAGTTTTTTAAATCTTTCATCCATTACTGCACCCCTGGGTGTTTCTGCTTTTCAGTATTAGAAACAACAGTGACTTGACTACCTTTGGGCATAGTGTTGTTTTCTTGATCTCTTAGGTTACGTTAGATGGTAGGAATATTTAAGGCAGTGGTTCTCAACTGGGACAATTTTACCAGGGGTCATTTGGCAATGCGTGGAGACATTTGGCACTGTCAAAATTGGCAGGGAGTGGAGGATAGGGGTTACTGGTATCTAATGGACAGATGTCAAGGATGCCACTAAACATTCTACCTTGCACAGGAGAGCCCTCCCCACCGCAACAAATTACCTCGCCCAAAACTTCCATAGCATTGATACTGAGAAACCCTGATCTAAATTCTCAAGTATTATCTTCTTTTGATTCTTTGCTAATGTGTATGGGAAGCAGCGCAATTTATCGGTTAAGGACATGGGTCTTGTAGTCCAAGAAACTAGGAACTGGTAGTAACCTTCACCTGAGACAAATCACTTGGCTTTGATTTTTCTTATCTTTTTAAAGCAAGATGAGACCCAACCCTAAATAGCTGCCAAAACCTACACAGTATTAATCCTGTAATTTTGCCAGACTGATAAATTGAAAAGTGGCTTCAATTTTATGATTGAGGTTGAACATCTTATTTAAGAGTCGCTTGTATTTTCTTTCTCCGTAAGCTATTGCTCCCTATCCTTTGCCCCTTTTATATAAAGTGAAGAATTCTCTCTGTGTTGGGGTGCCTGGGTGGCTCAGTCAGTTAAGCGTCCGACTTTTGGCTCAAGTCATGATCTCATGGTTCGTGGGTTCGAGCTCGCATCGGGCTCTGTGCTGACAGGTAGCTCAGAGCCTGGAGCCTGCTTCAGATTCTGTGTCTCCCTCTCTCTCTGACCCTCCCCTGCTCACGCTGTCTCTCTCTCTCTCTCTCTCTCTCTCTCAGAAATTAAAAACAAACAAACAAACAAACAAAAATCTTACCCAGTTTAGGTTTTGACTGTGTATATGGTCTTCAGCATAAATTTATTTTGTATTATTTTGTGTGGCATAAATTTATTTTCAGTAGACTTTATTATTTTTGTATGGCTTTAGGGGTTTGTAGCACTGAGGCCTTCCTCATTCCAAGATTATGTTTCCATGCTTTTGTCTAGTACTTATGATTCTCCTTTTTTGTATTTAGATATTTTGATCCACCTACAGTTTATTTTATTGTGAGATATGAAGTAGTGATCCAGTTAGCCGGTATTCCAATACCATTTATTGAAATCTGCTTTTTCTAGGCTGTTACAGAAAGCCACCTTTCTTATATAACAAGTTCAGCTCAGGTCATGATCTCATGGTTCGTCAGTTCGAGCCCCACATCAGGCTCTCTTCTGTGTGTGCAGAGCCAGCTTCAGATCTTCTGTCTCCCTCTCTCTCTCTCTCTGCCGTTTCCCCTGCTTGTGCAAGCGTGCTCTCACTCTCTCTCTCTCTCTCTCTCTCTCTCAAATTAATAAACTTTGAGGGGCGCCTGGCTGGCTCAGTCGGTTAAGCGTCCGACTTTGGCTCGGGTCATGATCTCACGGTTCGTGGGTTCGAGCCCCACATCCGGCTTTGTGCTGACAGCTCAGAGCCTGGAGCCTGCGTCGCATTCTGTGTCTCCCTCTCTCTCTGCCCCTCCCCTGCTCATGCTGCCTCTCTCTCTCTCTCTCTCTCTCAGAAATAAATAAAACATTAAAAATTTTTTTTAAATAAACTTTGAAAAAAAATAAAATGGTGAAATTTATGCAATGTAAATTATATCTCAATTTTTAAAAGTGTATATGTAGTAATCTTATTTTTAAAATTTGCTCTATGTTTAGTTATTGTAATATTATAAAGTGAGGGAACTAATATATTTTTCAGGGAAAAGTAATGACTTTTTTTTTAAGTTTATTTGTTTTTTTCGTTATTTCTGCACCCAGTGTGGGGCTTGAACTCATGATCCCAAGATCAAAAGTCACCTGCTCTACTAACTGAGCCAGCCAGGTGCCCTTCATTTTTTCTTAATCAGTATTTTCAGAGTATTTGCTAGTTTTAGCTTTTTAGAGTCTGGCTTTGGTACACTGTATTGTAGTTTGTTTTCTATTTCATTTAATTTCTGCCCTTATATCTGATTTCTTCCATTTTCTTTGGATTTTTTCTCTTTCTGAAAAGTTTCCTGGGAGGCCTAGGTGGCTCTGTCGGTTAAACGTCTGACTCTTGATTTTGGCGCATGTCATGATCCCATGATCGAGCCCCGTCTTAGGCTCCGTGCTGACCATGCAGAGCCTGCTGAAGGTTCTCTCTCTCTTTCTTTCTCTCTCTCCCACCCTCTCTCCCACTCGCGCTCTCTAGTAAAAACAAGTTAGACACTTAGCCACTTTCCCAATAGAGCACGTAAGTCTATAATTTCCTTCAAATATCTTGTTACTGTAGTCCATAAGTTTTAATATCTAGTATTTTTATTAGGTCTCAATTCTAAATAGTATCTGATTTCCACTGTGATTTCTTCCTTGATCCACACATTATTTCAGTGTGATTATATTTCTTT